GCTGAGAATAACCTTTGCATTTTTTTATGAAACTGAGCAGAATGTCTTAACCTATTTGTGTGTATGTTGAAGTATTTTCCTTCAAAAGGTTTTTACTACTTTCAGAATACCATATTTTTTAATTAAAAAAAAAGACAAAAATGTAATATGATGCTTCTTTTTGAAGACACGTTTCGTTTTGGTTTTTTTTTTTCTTCCAAACAGTGAAGGAGAACAGGGTCCAAATGGTAGCCAGAACTCTAGTTATAGCCAATCTTAAGACATTCCAAAGAATTTCTTTATGGACCACTTTGACTCAAGACATCCTGGGATCTTTCCTGTGTTCATGAAATGGACAGAAGGTTTTAGTAACATCTTTGACAAAGAACTTGAAGAATAAATAGCTTGTGTCAAGCATTTTGAAAGCTTTTTCTTTAAAACTGCATCGTTTTCTCTGACGCTGGAGCAAATGTACTAAGATTTTTCAGTGTAAGGAATCAAACGTTAAACCAAGCTACAAAAGATTAACACTATCCACTCAAAAGAAATAGTTCATTATTGGTTTTGTTTGCTTTGAGAAAATTGTAACTTGCCATTGAAGTGAACTATTTTTAAAGCGACAGTAACCTGAAGCCTAAGTGTACCTGTATTAATGACTTGTGTTGTCTTCATTTTGTTTGTGACTGAAGGAAGATAGTGCACTGTACGTTAAATCTATTCATTACCTTGAGTTTTGTTGAGTTTTTAAAAATAAATATGGATTCTGTAACAAGTAACACATCAGTCCTTCAGAAACAAAGCCTAGAAGAGCCCGCAAAGAATATTGTTACAGTTTTAATGAAAGCTGCAGGAAAGAAATTCAGTTCCTTTTTTGGATTAGAAAAACGCTGTTTTACTCAGTAGATGCACTTGGATGTTTTTGCCATGGAGCGTAGTCGCCCAGCTTACCAGAGAAGTGCAATATGTATAGTGATTCTGCAGTTTTCTTAAACATTTCAAGTGTTAGGAATTAAAAAAACTCAACATACTATGATTTTTTTTTTGCAAGCAAACGTACTGTATAGTACAATTGGAATATTTCACAAATACAAATCCGGATATGATTGCTGTTTTTTATGGTGGATTTTTTTTTTTGTACAAGAGATATACACTGTTAGTCTGCCTTCACTGTTAGTGTGAATTTGTGTGGTTCATTAGAGAGTTTATTTAAGAGGATTGAGCTATCGGTGAGCTTCATACTGGCTAATTTTAATTGTGATGTTAGGAGCAACTCTTTAGAATAACTGAAATGGGATTCCTTGGTTAACTGTGTGCTGGAGAAAATGAGATTCCTTCAAACAGAAGGCCATATCCTGTGTTCCTTACTCAGGCAGATATCCCACTGAAGTCAGGAATTGGCCTAAATCGAATTTCTGGATTTTTAGATAACTTTGTTTCCAATTAAGTTCTGTACAACTTCATTTTGAATGATAATGCCGACTTGCCCAAGTATAAAAATTGAATGATAAAATAAAGTGCAGTAACATCGTTCTCCATTTTTTTTCCTGAAGCAACACATTTCACTGGTCTGAAATATTGGAGGGAAATTCTTGAAAACCCTTGCTCTGTGATGCGTCTTGGTTCAAAAAACTGGCCTCTTAAAAATCCCCTGGTTTTGCAAATACCTGTCTTTGTAACTGGCTGGTCATTTGGTGAAATAGAACTGAAGCATATTTGTATGTAGCCCATTAGGCTACTAGCATTTATTTCTGTTCAGGTTATTTTCATAAAACGTCAGGTAAACAAGCCCAAACCACTTTGGTGAGATAGAAAATATCTACATTTTGGTCTTTGCTACTTTTGTTGCCATTTGATCCATACCTTTTCTAGACACTTGATTGATGAAGTGGGATTTGGCTATTTGCCTTTGTTTCTTGAAGTCTAAAGTGTGCTATTTGTAATGTGGACTTGGGGAGTAGAAATAAATCAATGCAACTTGACAACTGTGTGGAGTTCTTAAACAGGAACCGTTCTTTAGGTAAACATCAGTCTTCTTACATATACCACATAATCTGCTAAGAAAGCTAATGTTTTGAAATTAGGGATTTCACGCTATTAATGAAGAATTCTGGCTGGAGTGATTAAAGGTTTTCTTGCTGCTCAAGAGCCTTTCCAGTCTTGACTGCACACCTAAATTACCTATGTGACCTAAGCCTCAGAGCTAAAATATCAGGCACTTCTTGATGGTAAATAGAAGTATCTTGGGTCATTTCTCTACTGGGGAGGCGAGGATAGTTTTACCAGCTGTGATTCCAGTGTAAACAGTGAAAGGCAATAAAATGCAGTCAAAGGGACTGGATTCCGTGATGACAGTTATAAAAAGAAAGATGTAAATTGGAACAACAGGAAATGGAACATAATGTGAATTCAACAGCTTTGCTACCAACCAGACAGAAAAAAATCACCTTTACTGTGCTTCCTCTCAAAGGAGAGAAATGCAGAAAAATGAGGTGTCTCATTAAACGAGGGGTAGCTGAAAGTCTTCACAGATTATATGGTTACAGGTGACAGCGGAGTGTCAAAGCAAACACAGGCCATCTATGCCAAAAAGACTTAAGGAAAAATCTAAAAGGAAGCAAACTGAACTGGATCAGACAAGTTATTTAACTCAAAAAGCATCATTTGAAAAGCAAGTTATATCCACATAAGGAAGATACAGAGGAAGACACAGAAAGGATCATCAACTTTGACAAGCTACAAATAGTTTGAGAAACACCTTGCAAAAAATTACCAAGACTAGTAAAAGCTAAATCTACCAAGACTAATAAAAACTAATGAAAATAGAAGAGAGGTATACTGTGGCTTTCCTATTAAAACACTCTTCAGCTCAGAAAAGATAGGAGAGGTCTAGAAAAATGATGAGTGGTGTGAAGGCTGATGAGGTGACAACTGTTCATCACTTCTGACAGAAGAAGCAGGAGCATCTGATGAAAACAGTACATGGCAAGTTGAGAAGCAACAAAGGGGGGAAAGACTTCCTCTCACAACGACCCAATGCAGCCTGCTGTGACTGCTGGGAGTTTGTGCTGAAAATTTTACAAATACCCAAATATACCAAGACACGCAAAGGCTGAAGGAAGTATCAAAGCACTCTGAGATGTAAATGAGAATAATCTGGGGGTTGTATCACTACATACTTACCCTGTTTTATGCTCTTCCTCAGACGTTTTATTACCGGTTGCTGCCAAACAGAAAATAATGGGCTAGACAGATCTTGGTGGGACCCAATATAACTGTTTGTTGTTAATTTTTTGTGGCTATGTAGTTTTAGATGTTCCCAACAAACTTTAATATAGCTACAAAAGGAAGCATTGGCCACTTACGACTAAATCGTGACTAAGTTTAGTTGATTAGATCCCCTGGCTTTGTTCATCTGTCTGCTAAAGTTTGGTGGCTTGGTCAATACAGCTAGGCATGATTAATTACACATTTAGCTAAATATTTTCAGCGTGTCTCAAATTTTCTATACAATGTGACCTTAATGATCTAGATCAAAAGGCATCATTAGTCCTGGTGAGGCCTGGCACAATGCAGCCAACAGTGGGCTTCAGTTGCCCCATTGACTATGTGCCCACAGCATTGTGAAACCGACAGTCTAGGTCATGTTAAACAGGCAACATTAATGGATCATAGGATGTGGCTACATCCAACAGAACTGTGGGCATCTGTTACTCTTCCCGATCCAATCTGGAAAAGACCTTTCAAGAGTGAGACGGTGAGAATTGCAGAGTAATTGACCACAACAAGGTAACACCCATACTCATCCTGGCATTTTAATTTCATCTGACTCTGATTAATTCATCAGTTAAACTAAACCAGTATTTTGGAAATTAGTATAAATTCTGGCTCTTAAGTTGTTTGGGGCTTTTTTTTATGGATTGGAAATAAAGTATAGCAATAAGACCGCCAAAAAGGCAATGATACTTTGACGAAAAATGCCCTCATTACTCACTATTATGACAGCTACACTACAGGGTCTCTAATTACTAGCAAAGATGAGAGAACAGAAACCCCTGTAAGATGCACCGTCAGGGCAGCACAGCTAACACAGCTGGCTGTGCCAACTACAGAAGTTCTCCTCTAGAAACAAATGACTGCAGAGAGACTGCAGGACTTATTAGAAATAAAATCCTAGTAAGATCAGTTACTTTTTCTTCTCTGTTCTCTAAACTTGAGAGGGTATATTTTTGAGGTCCTCTTCTCACCATGCAGACTGCACTGTCAGAATGGAAGAGTGGTAAGATAAGTGCGCATTGCCCTCAATACTGATTAGAGCAGAACCAGAAATTGTAATTCCGTTTCCCAGACATCCTGCAGAGCCCTGAACTTCTGTGCTAGGACTTAAATTTTCTAGAGGCCAAGGCAGTTCACCTTTGCTAGTTCCCCTGAACTGCTAACAGCACTAAAAAACAAACAAAGAAATCCTTAAAATTATGACTATGCAAATTTATAGGTGGGGATGGGATGGGTCAGTTTGTTTTTTAAAGTTTAAGACACGTAAATTAACGTACATGAAAGAAGGAAGGGAATTCAGTAACTTCCTTGGACACCTCAAACTTTCCAGCCTAAAATGACTATGTAATAGTAACTTCAAATATAGGCAAGTTCTCACTTGATACTGAGCTGCTGAGGGAACAGAAGTTGTTGACTGAATGCTATAGCATTTCGTACTCGGCAGCAGATCTGCGTATAAAAATGGATATACTTTTAAAATAAGGAATCACACAACATTTTGAACAGCGAGTATTCTAGCATCAGGTCAGTTTCCCTTTGTATTTTCTGACCAGTAGTGAAGTTTTGGCCTTACAATCATACAGTACAAACCTAAAAATGTGTACTCTACTTACACTCTTTGATAACACAGGAAATATTTTAAAACTCCAGCTACACATGAAGTATAATAAATCTGTGCTTAGGGCAGTTACCCAAATTCCATTAGAATATCTGTAGTTTACCTACTCTAAACAAACTACCCAACACAGTTATCTGGGAAAGGATAATTTTATTTGTCCTATCATCATGAGTTTAAACAGTCATAAACTACATCATACAAAAATCTTAGTAAACATAATAAGTATATAGGTTCTCTTCACATACTTTCACCAAAAAACACAGCCCAAAGTAAAGGCTGAACAAATTTAATGTCCTCTCTTCATGTCACAGACTTTAGATACAATTTAAACCAAGCAGTTGATATGCGTGGCTATTTGGAGGTGAATGTCCATTTACAGAAGAAAACAGGAGTGGGCTGTATTCTGGAAGTGGAATGCACGTAGTTTGAAAGCTAAAAACTACAAACGATCCTGAAGCCGTGATGGGGCAAGGGTTGGGGTAGTCACCTTCATTTTTTCTCTGGAGGTTCATGTTTTACCCAATCCTCAAAGCCACCAGCATATTGCTGAACTCTGAAAATACACAGAAGATAGCTTTTTCAAGAAGAGTCCTTCTTAACATTGTATCTAAGAGGACATGGCAAAAAAAAGAAAAAAAAACATACAGAAATTCTCTGCAATCAAATACACTTCTACCTAGCTTCAATGAGCCACATCGACACTCCTTGTACTCTAATACTGCCTGCTTCCATGCAGTGTAACTCTCTTCTTCCAAATGACACAATGCTGGAGATCAAACATCAAGCAAGTAGTAGCAGCCGGATCAATGAAACAGTTTGCCACTTCTTTTTTTAAAAAGAGAGAAGAGACTCACTGCGGTGGGAGATTTAAAAATGTTATTATGTGTAATACTTCAGAAGTCATCTATTTGATGCAGCAGCACACTGATCTTTACTTCCTTGCAAACCTATGTGCTCTATAGATCTGACATAAGCCTGCACAAAACTAAACTCTGGAAAACAAAAACCCACCGTGCAACACAATACTGACTCCTTCAACTAGGTGGCATGAAAAACAGGTAATGGAGGATATTTTGCACTTATTAAAACAATATATTTATAAAAGAAGAATGTGGTTCCATACTTTTGACTAGAATTAGCAGGGATATTCCAGTTCATGAGTTGCTGTCCAGCAAAAACATGAGCAAACAACCCATTTTTTAAATTCTATCTGCAGTCTTCAAGCCAGCGAGGCACCTTCTGGCATGGGTGTAACAATTCTGCCAACCAAACACTGCTTTTGCTTTCACTCTATCAATCTCATTGTCTTTTTAGCTATTGCCTTCACTGCTTTACTCCTGGCAAACAATCCAGTGCTTTACTGAAAGTGAAGGCGTGCTTTGTCAACAGTGAACTGTACAGGTAGAACTGCAATTTAACAAAGGGTGTGGTTTCATAAAGTATTTAATCTAATTTAAGATCGTACAACTACCAAAGTGAGCAGTTCTCCACCTTTCCAGTCATCCTGCGTCTCGGGACTAGTGCTTATGAAGCTGTATAAGGAAGCAACGTCTCGGCAAGGGAGCCCTAAGAGGCAGAAGGACCCTTCAGTGGCAGCATGGTCTTGCAGCAGATGGCATCACCTGCGGCACATGCGCAGAGCTGCTGAGGGGTTGTTTCACAGAGCGATACACCTCGCTTTGCTGGAACACCCAACGGCATCTTTCAAGGTTCAGTGGAGGCAAGAGGAGGTGTCTAACTCAAATACCAGTAGTTTTGTTCATATTCCACGTTTAAATTTTTACCCTGCCCACAAGAAGCTGAGTACGAGTTCTGCTTCATGGGGGGAGGCCGCATTAATCCCATCCTTACACACACAAGTCATACCTGCTGAAACCCAAGGACATGGCAAAACCGAGTGCCTGTTTACTTCTTGTTCCTGCCAAACAGGAGAAAACCACAGGGTCTGACTTGGATGGCATCTTTTGATTGTACTGCTCCTTGAACTCCGTTGGGTCCATTTGTAGAGCTTCCACTAATTCACCCACTGGGAAATAAGCAAAAAAAAAAAGGTCTCATTTATTCTCTGTCCACAGACAGGCTTACACTGTAAGGCGTCTAATTGCTCTGGAGGAAAAGTTTAGCCTCACCACTGAGGCTGTCTAGCACTGCTCCTCTTTGCTCAGTCACCGCCACTTGTCCACAGACTTGATCATCAAGCAAAGGGCAACACCCAACGTCTCCACGTAGCAGTGTTAGTAACTTACGCGGGATGTTGATGGACGCTGGGATTTTTCCAAATCTGTCGATCTCCCACCTCTCCCACACGTCTATGTGGAGGACGTCGGCCTTCTTCAAGTCTTTGAGCTCTTGGTAGGAAAGGCTTGGTGCCCCGCCGGCGCAGAGGCTGCGGCTGGTGGCACCCACCGCCCCGGGACCTGACAGAGAGGCGCAGCCCGTGAGCCCAGAGCAGGCCCCCGCAATCCCGGCCTCTCGGGGAAGGCCATCGCCCCCAATAACGTTTAAGATATTCACGCAGGGCTCCCCCCGGGCGCCGGCAAATCGCACCCCGCCGCCCGCTTTCGGAGGGGCCCAGCCGCCA